TAAGGTATCACAAATTCTTCAGCAACATCATTTTGAAATTTTAAGTGAAGCTCTTGGAAAGTTGAATATTCAAACAAAAATTCAAGGGGAAAAAGTAGAAGTTTCAATTCTTAAAAAAACCAAACCTATTTGTTTAACTGATTTTCCAAATATTTTACTGCCTAAGGAATTATCTGCAGAACGCCAATGGTACTTATATGAGCAAATTCGGGAGCATATTAGTGATCCAAATAAAAAAGATGGGTATTGTTCAAAACCAGTTATATCAAAACCTGGTAAAGTTAAATCTTAAATAAATAATTATTTATAAGTTATTAATTTCTTTGTTTAGTTTTAAATTATTAACAAATTAAAATGTTAAATGAAAAGATAAAGGTTTAACTGCTAATCTAATATGCATAGGATCAAATTAAGTTATAAAAATCTTTAAAACAAAGGTTAAAAGTTGTTAAGAAAAATGAGAAAATAAAAAATCCTCTGAATTTGCCATACGAAACTTAAAGAATCATCATTCCTAAAAGATAAAATTTAAATTTTATTATTATTAAAAAAGATATCAAAGAAAAGCAGAAGTACCAATGAAACTTACTTAAATTCATTACTTCTGGAAAAGCTATACCTTCCTAAAAGTGGTGTTCTGAATTCAATCGAACCCCAACTGATCTGATATCAATACGAATCTGTCGTATCTAAAAGAAAGGAGGGAACGTTAATTACGTTCCTTCAAATTATAAAAAAAGAAAAGGAAGAAAAAGGAACAAACTTACCTCAATAGTTCATCAGGAACTGCTCGTTTGGCTTTGTCCAATCATTCAGGTTCCGTTCCTAAAAAATAGAGGAAAGGGAATGTTAATTATGTTCCCTCAAAATAAAAAAAAAAGAAAAGAAAAGGAATGAACTTATCTCAGGAACTGTTCGTTCGGCTTTGTCCAATTGTTTAGGTTCCGTTCCTAATAAATAGAGGAAAGGGAACGTTAATGTTAATTACGTTCCCTCAAAATAAAAAAAAGAAAAGAAAAGAAGAGAAACGAACTTATCTCAGGAACTGTTCGTTCAGCTTTGTCTGTTCGTTCAGGTTCCGTTCCAAAAAATAGAGGAAAGGGAACGCTAATTACATTTCCTCAAAATAAAAAAAATAAAAGAAAAGAAAAGGAACGAACTTATCTCAATAGTTCATCAGGAACTGTCATTCTGTTTTGTCTGTTTGTCCAGGTTTCGTTCCTAAGGTCAATTATAATGCAAATGGACGAACAACACATGAAATTAAAATAAAAAAAAAATTTTTTTTTTTTTGAAAAGACACTCGAAATCTAAAGGAAAAAAAGAAAAGGTTAGTTTGTGCCACATAAAAAGCAGTTCCTTAAACTTGTTCTAGAAGAAAAATTATCTAAAAAAAATAAATTAATAATTCGAGTCAGCTGTTCGAAAATGATCATCAAATTTCATACTAAATTCAGAATATAAACTGGTTTTTGTCTAGTTTTTAAAATACTCATTTAGCACTTACACCATATTTCTTATATGTAATCATTATTTTAATGATATATTATTACGTCGAAAAATATAATTACGTAATTATCATATAATGGTTTTTTTTAAAAAAATCGGTTTATTACCACCTCTATTGTTAAAATCGCAAAGAAAAAATATACCGAAAGTGACTGTCTAAGTAATAAAGGAAATGTCGCGTATAATACAAAGTTCAAATTATTTTTTACGTCAAATTAAATATTCGACAAGTCATACTGCCTTTACAAAACAGAATTATTCAAGAAATTTTCAAAAAGCGAATAGAAAGCAAGATTTTCAAGTTTACGCGAATTTTCGTTATATATTTAAACGGTTTTATAATGGAAATATACCACCGGGTACTAAAAAATGTTATACTTATCATTCTTTAAATAATTTTATTTTATTTGTACATTCATGATATGCTGTTTTACTGCTAATTTGTAGGTGGCTTCCGTAACAATCCTACGCCACAAGCTACAAAACAAAAAGGTTCAGCTCTAGAAGAATTCGGATATGATTTGACTAAACTTGCAGCTGAAGGAAAATTGGATCCGGTAATCGGCCGTGAAGAAGAAATCAGGCGTACAATACAAGGTTAACTATTTGCTACGTAACTGTGTAATTCTTTAATATAATACTAATTATATCGAGCTCATTTATTTATTCAATATAAAGTGTAAGTTTCTGACCTTAGGATATTGTCATTGAAATCAATTCTTTAAAAGGTTTCAAATGATTCTAATTAGCAATGATCAGTTTATCACGGCGAACAAAGAACAACCCAGTATTAATTGGTGAAGCTGGAGTTGGAAAAACTGCGATCATAGAGGGTCTCGCCCAAAGGATAATTAATGGTGAAGTTCCTGAAAGTATCAAGGATAAAAAAGTTATGGCATTAGATCTTGGATCTATTATTGCTGGATCGAAATTTAGGGGCGAATTTGAAGATCGACTCAAAGCCATATTACATGAAGTTCAAGAAGCTGAAGGAAAACTTATTCTATTTATTGATGAATTACACAATTTACTTGGATTAGGGAAGGCAGAAGGTTCAATAGATGCCGGAAATTTACTTAAGCCTGCTTTAGCAAGAGGAACCTTAAGGTGTTGTGGTGCAACAACCATTGATGAATATCGCAAACATATTGAAAAGGACCCAGCTTTAGCACGTAGGTTCCAATCAGTTATGGTTACAGAACCAACTATTGAAGATACTATCTCAATTTTACGTGGTCTTAAGGAAAGATATGAGATTCATCATGGAGTTCGTATTGCGGATTCAGCTTTGGTTTCTGCTGCCACATATTCTCACAGATATATAACTGATAGGTTTCTCCCTGATAAAGCTATTGATCTTGTTGATGAAGCGAGTTCAAAACTTCGTCTTCAGCAGGAAAGTAAGCCTGAGACGATCGAAAATCTTGATAGACAAATAATTACTCTTCGTATAGAAATGGAATCTTTGAGAAAAGAAACAGATCCAGTATCTCGAGAGCGTCGAGAGAAATTGCAACAAGAGCTGAATGAAAAGCAGAAAGAGTCGGACAGACTTAGCTTACTTTGGCAGGAGGAACGGGCTAAATTGGAGGAAATTAAAGGTATTAAGTCTAAATTAGAGCAAGCAAGAATAGAATTAGAGGCAGCTCAAAGACAAGGTAATTTCACTCGTGCCAGTGAATTGCGTTACGGTGTTATTCCGGATTTGGAAAAGGAACTTCCTCAAGATCGTGACGAAGAGAATCCAGAATCATTAATACATGAACGAGTCACAGTGGATGATATTGGAGCAGTAGTTTCTCGAATGACAGGAATTCCTATTAACAGCTTGTTACGGAGTGAAAGAGATAGGTTACTCCACATGGAGGATAAACTTTCACATCGCGTTGTTGGACAAGCTGAAGCGATAAGAGCTGTTTCAGAAGCAGTGAGATTGAGCCGAGCAGGTTTGCAAAGTCCTTCCAGACCAATTGCTTCGTTTTTATTTCTTGGCCCAACAGGTGTTGGAAAGACAGAATTGTGCAAAGCAATCGCAGAATTTTTATTCGATACAGAATCGTCTATTGTACGCGTAGATATGAGTGAATATATGGAGAAGTGAGTGTCACATATTATTGCTATATCTATTTATAAGCAAACAAGGAGTTAAAAATTTGTTTATTAAGGTTTGCCGTGTCGAGGCTCGTCGGTGCTCCACCTGGTTATATTGGATATGAAGAAGGTTGTGTTTACTATTCTTTTTTTGTATTTCATGATTCGGATATCTCAATTTCTTCTGATTTTATTTATGTAATTCGTGATACAGGTGGCGAGCTTACTGAGGCTGTTCGAAGAAAACCATTTGCTGTTGTTCTCTTGGACGAGATGGAAAAGGCGCATCGAGGTCTGTTTAAAAATTAAAAGTCATTATTGTGACATTTACAAAAATTAATACTATTTACATCATGAATAGACGTTGCCAACCTTTTACTTCAAATTTTGGACGATGGTTTTGTTACTGACTCGCAAGGTCGAAAGGTAAATATCTAAGTTGACTTCATAACAAAAGTATTGAACATACCCGTCTTAAAAAAGCATTTGTTCCAAAATAGATCGATTTCCGGAACACAATTATCATCATGACAAGTAATCTTGGTGCAGATATTTTAGCGTCATCAGATGCAACAGACGAGGGGAAAGTAAGCGACTTGACCAAGTCAGCTGTCTTAGACATTGTTAAAAGGCATTTCCCGCCAGAATTTGTTAATCGAATAGATGATATGGTAAATTTATAATTAGTATTATGCTTTATAATAATTCGATTATAGACCTATTATTAATATTTATTTAGGTCGTTTTCAATCGTCTTACTCGTATGGCTTTAAGAGATATCGTTGATGTACGTCTACGAGAAGTCCAAGCACGATTGAAAGACAAACACATTATGATTGATGTGGACGAACATACTAAAGCTTGGTTGGCTGAAAAGGGATATGATTCTGTATATGGTATGTTGCTTAATTGAATCAAGTTTCGAATTATCATATCACTTAAATATTTAATCATTACTTTTTTTTCTTTAATAGGTGCCAGACCACTTAACCGGTTAATACAGAAGAAATTACTTAATCCATTGGCTATGTGTTTAATAGAGGTAACGGTTATTTTTAATTTTTATTCGGCGAGAAATATATTTTTATACATGATAAATATTTAACTTTATAAATTCTATATAATAGGGATCCATTAAAAATCACGAAACTGTCCGAATTAGAATAACGAAAATTAATAGTATTGAAGATGATTTGATCGTAGAAAAAAATCACGAAATACTTTGAGAAGATATTCAAAACAATTTAATCATATCCTAATCTTTTTGGGAGGGATAGGTTTCGCTTCGGATGTGTACATTTCGTTGGTGTGTATGTAGGTTCTAAAAACAAAAAATAATAATATTATTTTTTTCAATTTAATAAAGTAAAATATTATCAGAGAAATAATATTACATCTCCATAAAATGTAATTAATGATTAGCGCGTCCAACATATTGAGCGAAGTACATAACTTCAACGCCAAACGTCTGGACATGGGCGTGTGGTGATTTATAACGAAAAGTTTTAACTTTTAATATTGAAGGAATTTACTTAAAAAGAAAGCGCGTCCTCACTTTTTAGTAGTTATGTTTAGGGTCTCCTCCATGATCATTCAATTTTGTTGAAAATGGGAAATAGACCAGGCCTCGACATCGTTTTGTCAAAAAAAATTTTAAAAATCGCGATCCAATCATACGACCGATCAAATAAATTCATCTCAGAAGTGACTTTTATATTTTTTTATCGTCTTCGATAGTTCAGATGCGATTTTTACCATCTTTGACAGTTTTGATTGTGACTTTTATTAGTCATTTCTCTAATAAAACAGTTTAGATGCGCTTTTGGTGCTTATCAAATTATAGATTCAAACCAATCTAAAATAAATTAATAGATCTTTAAGTAATAGTTAAATATTATAACCTAAATCAGCAAAGAAATGAAATTTGTGTTTTTGCAAGGCTAGTTAAAATTTGGTCAAACAAAAACTTTTCGCTCTCTTTTTCTCGTTTGATTTTATCCAAAAATTTTTACATAAAAACGTCCATTCAAGGGCAAACAAAACAAAAAAAACCCTCTTATAAATTTATTCCTTTTTCTGTTTCCTATCCCTATTCAACTTACTTTGGATACAAAAATCTCATGTAATGATACTCCTCTTTCTTTCTAAATGGTAACACTTTTTTTGATATCAAAGATTGTGAAATCCTACATAGTATTTTTTTTTTTTTTTTTTTAAAAATGCTGCAACTTCGACCAATTACCTTTACACTTAAACCTAGCTACCAAAGTATATCAGATACTATTAATGGTGGCATGCTTGCCAATCAATCTCAGGTATTTTCCTATTTTTCAAGTTATCTACCATGTCGAATGCATCCACCTCGATATGCCTATCTAAGTATAACATCCCAATCTGGCAACTCAAACTGCTTGTTGTAATCTGAATTAGATACTTAGCATCAAAGGTACTGTCAAATTCGAATAGAGGGATCATCTCAGCCATAGTGAACGTCATCACTATACATGAAGTCGAAATGGATCATTTCGGATATCTGAAATGACCGAAATGGTCGAAATCATTTTTTTTTTGATACTTTTACTAGCCACGCACAAGTGATAATATATTTGGATGCATACCTTTCAACAGAATGATACGTCTTACAACACGTCTAATTCTCCTATTAACCCCCTTTGCTATATTTCAAACCAGTGTGGGTTGATGTTAAACCTAGGTAAATGAGTGTCAATATCTGAGTAGACTGCCAAACCAATGAACCCTCAGGGTAGAGAGATATGATACCCAGCTATCATTCACTATTCATCACAACTACTGGAAAGAGGGTCAAGAACAACCTAAGATGATAGCTTACATCATGGTTGCCTCGCCATACGTCAAAATCACCCCAAGAATCGAACCCAGGCCTCCAAACCCTAGTTGTGATATAGACACCAC